GCTGGATCGGGTCGATCGCCCGACTCGATCGCCTGAAACTGAAAACAAACACGTTTGTTTTTGAGGCGATCGAGTCGGGCGATCGGCCCGATCGGCCGATCCAGTCCGTAGTGGACACCCCGTATTAAATCAAACACGATGTCTACTCTCGGTGCGTATACATGCTCAAAACAATTAGAAAAGGGAGCAAAATAAGATTTTCTGCTATTCCTCTCACGATTACGTCTCTGTCTTGTCGTGAAAAGAAAAACCACCTGGGCCAAATACAGCCGTTGCAATTGAAAAATTTGTATCTAATAAAAAGACACTCCTCTAAAACAAAACAAAACAAAACACACAAACAAACAAACAATTACAAACGAAAAAACAACAACAACAAACAAAAAAGAAAACGAAACCTTGGTACCAGACAAAATTCTGTTTCATTACAAATTAAAAATAAACCCTCTATTCTTTATAAGATCAGTTTGAGTTTTGCAATCACAGTAACGTTTGTACATCATTCGATACCAAAATATCGATGTCAAACTAAGATACAAAGCCGTGGAAATTTTCACTTAACTCAAACAGATTCGCATTTACACGATTTTTTCATACAAAAGACAGAACAATATAGAAGCGTGTTGTTGGAGTGCACATGGCAAACAGCAATAGGCTAATGTCCCACAGAAAAACAAAACAACAACTATTGACGTTGCTGAGTCCAGGGTTGCAGGCTACAATATGGGGTATACCCACACACGTCTGGGAGCTACAAACTACGCAGTCTCAAGTTTCTGATCAAGGCCAGCTTCGAATACGTAGAGAGGGTTTTTCTCGCTTTTCATCTTTCGGTCGTAATACAGCCCCCTGGCAGTTTTACCGGCAACGAGGGAATGGTATCGATTACATTACAAGGACAGTGATAATAACAATCACAATCTCTATTCATCTTACAAGAAAAACAGTGTCTTGGTTATATTCAAAGGCAGCTGTGCTGTTACAAAGTTTACGTGCACTTACAAATACATAATGAGCGAAGACATACATCTTGATTTTACGTGCTGCAACACCGCGCTCAATAAAGATAAATATTACAAGATCAGAGCTTTATTTCTTCTGGCGAGTAAAAAAAGAACAGGATAGGACCCACGGCACGGAGATAAATCTCTTGGATATTGTAAAAAATTCGAAAACTCTTCCACATTTCAATAAACCGGCGAATTTATTGTAAGCAATCTTCGCAATTACTCGCATGAGATGTGCGTTCGATTCCCAAGTGGGTAAGTATATTATTTTATCGAACATATCTGTGTGTTCGCTGGGACGTTGTACCTTACGCAGTTCAAATTTGGCGCTAGCACGCAGGACTGACTTAGCTTGTCTTTAAATGATCTGAACTGTGTCAGTGCACGTGTAAAAGATGTACTTTTGAGTTTTAGTCCAAATTTTACGGCACTCGCAAGCAGTTCATATAAGTGTTGAAAATTAGAGGTGTTACAAGAGAGTAACGTACAGAGAAAAGAAGGAGGAGAGATAAGGACGATAAATGTTGGATAGAAAGGAAGGCGCAAACCATACAAGCGCGCCTTCCAACCACCACTAAAGTTGTACAACTGTTGCAATTAGCACAAAAGTCAATGGGAGTGCGACAGTTCCAACCACAGAAGTGGTAGACTAACTGGACGTTACAAAAACACAATCAGGGGTTAGGCGATCATCCGGAGATAGACCAAGAGTGGAGCCAGTGGCCAGCGACAGATAAAGTAAGATATACTAAGATAAGATAACACTTTATTGTCCCAGTGGAAATCTTATACTTGGCTGTTCAGGAATGGTAACAATACACGCATGTATACGAGGTTGACTGCTCTTTTCCTTGTGTACCTCACGGTACGAAGAGAGAGAGAGAGATAGAGAGAGATAGATAGATAGATAGAGAGAGAGAGAGAGAGAGAGAGAGAGAGAGAGAGAGAGAGAGACTTAGTTTAGTCCACAAATTACGCTTATCATGATGGAATGCCAGATCTGAGAAACGGACATCGGCGATCACGGTTTGCCTCTCATTCTCTGCTCATGCGCTCTCTGAAAAGCATTACTATCCTGGTCTCTCCCAGCCACCTATCTGTTCAAGTTCTGTAAGTAAATCATTCTCGGTCTTCTCCTGCCCCTTTTGTCAATGTTTTTTTTCCAGTAAGAGCAAGACTTATAAAAAGAGGTTCGGTATCAATATTGGCATCTATAAAGAAAACGCAATTGTTGACACCCCTTCTTTCCTATCAGATGTCTATCTTCCTCATACAACTCCCCCTTCTTTTCTTTGTATGTTACTGTCTAGTACTAGTAGCACTTTTCATAACGGACAATGAATATGTTTTAATTATTGTGTTGAAAGTGCTGTGAAACTTCCACTAAACATATAATTCATGTATAATCCTCACTGATGTCTTGATATTTGAGATGATACAGGCTACAATGTATCCATTATAACAACAGATAAAACTGTGTTCTTCCTTATTAAATGCAACGATTCCACAAAGTGGAGCTCCTCAACAATTGGGATAAATCCTTGTCTTTACTAAGGTACGGTAGTTTTATGAGGTTTTAAGAGGATGGAAAAAAGAACGAACGAACAAACAGAACGTAACAAAGAGAGAAAACAAAAGAAAAATACCGGAACTAAAACATTGCAATCGAAGAAAAACTTGCTGAAAAGAGAACATGCAAGGCATT